ACATGTTTCCAAAGATGTACGTGTATTTTGTATCGGGAAGATAATCATTTTTAATTGATGGTTTTGCAAGCTCTTGGACAACGCTGAGTACAAAGGGCAAATTCTGAGTTTTACAAGAGCAAAAATCATAATTAAACATTGAAAGTCTTGTTTGTATCACGTTCAGGGCTCGCAAAAGTTTTTTAAACAAGGTTTCAGACTATTCCAAAGATGGATTTGTGCCGGGGAGATGTAAATTAATTTTGGATTTGCCCTGTCAGACGTGTATTTAAACACTGCATACTCAGTGTATGCCCCAAAAGCTTGTGAAAAAAATCCACAAGCACACTCAAGTCTTCGGGGCATACACTTAGTATTCACTGTTTAAATACACATCTGACAGGGCAAATCCAAAATTAATTAAGGTTCCAGACTTCTTTTTCAATTGCCAAATGCCCCATGCTATATAATGCAGCTTTTTGCATACTCTTGTTCTCTATCTATCTGTGCCACTTTGGAGTCCACCGGAGCATCATGTGTTCCATGATACAATTAATAATTAATTAGCAAGAGACAGTAAAGGATGTTAATTTATATTAAATGGGTTTTGCCCATACCCAAGGTATATATAACACTGTATGCTCAGTGCTTGTCCGAGAGCTTGCGAAAAAATTCACAAGCTTACTTGGGTGAGACTCGAACCCACGACCTCCTGCTTACTAGTGCAAACGTCTTAACCACTCGACCAACGAGCTTGCTGGGGTCGGCTGGCTGGTCCGAGTCAGATGAAGCAACAGGTGAAGTGAACTATTTTCAAAAAAATTTTTTTCTTCTTTTTTGCGTCAGGGAGATTTTAATTTAGATAACGGGTGTTGCCCTTACCCAACGTATATATTAATAAACACTATATGCTCAGTGCTTGTCTGAGAGCTTGAGAAAAATTTTACGAGCTTACTCAGGTGGGACTCGAACCCACAACCTCCTGCTTACTAGTGCAGACGTCTTAACCACTCGACCACAGAGCGTGTAAAGGATGTGTCCTTCTCAAACACTTCTTGTCAGCTTTTCAAGATTTTACAACCATGTGACTTGATCTCTTTGGTTACATGTGTATCTTTGTAAAATTGAAGTTTCTCATCCTACAGACTTTCCTGAGATGCCTTGCAGTTATACTTATTAGAGATGTTACATTTCTAATATGATACATTTTCATGTGCTTTCAAAAGTCTAACAAAAATAATTGAATGATCTCCTATATGGTTATAAATAGCTGAAAAACAAAATCAGCTCAGTTTCAGTCTTTGTAGTGTTATGTTAAAATAATATGACAATGTGACAAGTGCTCGTCTTCCATATTGAACAGGGAAGCGTCCCTTTTATGTTAATGATGAAACAATTGTAACCAACATTTAATATGTCCAAGTAATATACTTGAGAATTGACCTTTGTCACCTGATCATTTTACTCACAGATTTCTGAAGTATGAATACTGTTTTACATGTCTCTATTTGTGAATATTTCACCCTTAGAGTACAGTGCGTCTGATGTCCAGTCCCTGAATGCTGCCAATATCTGTGAAGATGAACTGAAGTCACATTACGATGAGACAGGTAGCTTTGTACAGATGAACCCATGGTGTGATGATGTCATAAAACACATTGCAGAGATATACATCAAGGTACAGTTAATAACTGGTGAGGGAAAAACAAAATGCTCCTTTGAGGATATGTTGCTGCTGAAAACAAAAGAAGGTAAATTGATCCCAATAGCTGTACTAAGTGGGCTGGCTGGTAGAGGAAAGACCACTCTTTTTGACAAGATTGCGTATGATTGGGCAGTTGGCTCTTGCAAGGTCTTACAGAAGTATAAACTGCTCTTCCTGTTGAAAATGTGTGATCTGAAGCAGGAGTCGGATCTTATTGATGCAGTTTTTGACCAACTCCTAGCAGAAGACACAAGTATGGACAGGAATGCTCTGGGGTCATACATCAAGATGAATTCTGGCAAAGTCCTTATACTCTTGGATGGCTTTGATGAGTTGAGGACCACTTCCCTCAACAAATCCTCATTTGGTTCCATTCTGAAAATCCTCAATCGTAGGATGTGTAGAGGTTGCACTGTACTTGTGAGCACCCGCCCCTCCCACTTAGACAGATTGACAACAAAGGAACTGATTCAACCACCATTCACACATGTCAGGGTCATAGGATTTCTTGAAGAAGACATCACTGAGTATGTGGACAAGTTTTACTGTGATGAACCTACTAAAGCAGAGGGGCTTCTGACAAGGATTGGATCTTCAGACCTTTGTCAGTTTTGGCAGAGAGTCCCATGTTGCTTCTCATGATGTGTTCCCTGTGGAGTGAAGATTCTGAATTTCCAGAAACAATGTCAGGCCTATATCATAATGCAGTTGATGAAGTTGGAAAAAGAAAGGATGTGTCAGAACAAGAAATAAAAAGGGTGGTGATTGAACTTGGCAAGGTTGGTTTGCAAGGTCTCCTTTTTCCAGATCAAGTGCTGTCTTTTAAAGAAAGTGACTTTGAGCCAGGTGTGCTTAGCCTTGCTCTAAAAGCAGGTATTTTGACCACACAGAGAGTCCTCAAGGGACGAGTCCCCCACAGCAGTGTGCAGTTCATTCATAAGACATTCCAGGAATTCTGTTCTGCTTTATACCTCCAGAATTTGTTTGAAGTAAACAGACAAGAATTTCAGAAGATTCTGAATGAAATTGTGTCAAAAAGCCCAGTGGATTTTGAATACCTTCTGCGCTTTTGTTGTGGAGGAAATGAGGCATGTACATTTGAGATATTGAATGTGTTTCTGGAGAAGTGTAAGAATCATTTGTCAGTTAGGGATAGGGTGGGTCAGTTGGCACTTCACTGTTACTTTGAAAGTCAGTGTAAGTGCCTACCACCTGAGAAGTTGATACAAGCATTCTTAACTGGTAACTTCAAACTTCGTGGTATTTATGGTGATAGGGTCTATTCGGTTACATACTTTCTGAAACGTGTTGCAGAGGTCAGTGGCAGTATTCACCTTGATAAAATAAAAACACTCACTATGGTGTCTTGTGAATTGACAAGGTCTGTCAAACATATTACCTTTGCCATGACAGCAATGATAAATCTGCATGATGCAGAGTTCACTGCTACCCTTACCAGTGAAAACACACATGTCCTTAAGTCACTCAGTTATCTACCAAACTTAGTTAGCTTGTCTCTCCATGATATTCATTTTGATGTTACAGCAGCATCATGGGGAATGTATCTGAAGGAGCTTAAGCCTCTGCAGAGGCTGAACTTGATGGACTGCTTATTGAATGGAAAGGACATGGTACATGTTGCTGAGTCACTCAAGAATCTACTCAATTTGGTTTCATTGGATGTTTCTTGTAATAACCTTGGTGGTACAGCCGCATCATTGGTAATGCGTCTGAAGGAGCTCAAGCCCCTGCAGAGGCTGAACTTGAGGAACTGCTCATTGAATGGACAGGACATGGTACATGTTGCTGAGTCACTCAGGGATCTACCCAACTTGGCTTCATTGGATGTTTCTTGTAATAACTTTGGTGGTACAGCAGCATCATTGGGAATACATCTGAAAGAGCTCAAGCCCGTGCAGAGACTGAACTTGATGGGCTGCTCATTGAATGGAAAGGACATGGTACATGTTGCTGAGTCACTTAAGGATCTGCCCAATTTGGTTTCATTGGATGTTCCTGGTAATAACCTTGGTGGTACAGCAGCATCATGGGGAATGCATCTGAAGGACCTCAAGCCCCTGCAGGAGCTGGACTTGGGGGACTGCTCATTGAATGGAAAGGACATGGTACATGTTGCTGAGTCACTCAAGGATCTACCCAATTTGGTTTCATTGCACGTTTCTTGTAATAACCTAGGCGGTACAGCAGCGTCATGGGGAATGCGTCTGAAGGAGCTCAAGCCCCTGCAGGAGCTGAACTTGTTCAACTGCTCATTGAATGGACAGGACATGGCACACGTTGCTGAGTCAGTCAAGAATCTATTCAATTTGGTTTCATTGATTGTTTCTTATAATTACCTTGGTGGTACAGCAGCATCATGGGGAATGTATTTGAAGGAGCTCAAGCCCCTGCAGAGGCTGAAGTTGGTTCGCTGCTCATTGAATGGACAGGACATGGTACATGTTGCTGAGGCACTCAGGGATCTACCCAATTTGGCTAGATTAGACGTTTCTGGTAATAACCTTGGTGGTACAGCAGCATCATGGGGAATGTTTCTGAAGGAGCTCAAGCCCCTGCAGGAGCTGGACTTGAGTAGCTGCTCATTGAATGGACAGGACATGGTACATGTTGCTAAATCACTCAAGGAGCTGCCCAACTTGGTTTCACAGATCGTTTCTGGTAATACAGACCTGGCTGGTACAGCCACTTCATGGTGCTTGTATTTGAAACATGCAAAGGCCCTGAGGAAGCTGGATCTCAGGTACTGTTGGCCGACAGAGGAGGATAAGAAACACATTCATGATGTTCTGAGTAACCTAGATGAATTGCTCCTTTATCGCTAGGGGATATTGGTTGGTGATTGACAGGAGAAGCTGGATTTTTTCTATAAATTTCAATGACAAGTAGATACAAGTATGAAATACCATACAAGCAGGGTTTGTAGGTTC